TACACACACACACACTCTCTGTTCCCCCCCCCCAAGGCACTCACATGTACACACACACACACACACAGCGGTGTTATTTTTAGTCTGGCCCGCTCTGGGTATGGCGGTTCTCCCGGCTTGTGTGTAATTGGTGGCTGATGGGTCGCTGAGGGATGTGGCGCTTGGTGCGTTGTGCTGGGAAGGAGGCTCTATTTGAGGGGGGGTGGGGGGGTTATTTTCCTCAATAGGTGATGGGACCGCTCCCCTCCCTGCTCCCCAAACAGAGCCGGAACCCTCCGGAAGGCAGCGCGGGCCATGTGCGGAACAGATGGCTCTCTGCGGTCATTTTCTGTTTTCCTCACTTGTGGCGGAGTGCGGTCGGGGTTTTGGCTGCCACCCCCTGTAATCGTGGGCCCATTGTTAGCACTGCAGCCGTCCCTGTTCGGCTCTATTTATAGCAGGAACTGGAGAGGCCAGGGTGTGGCTGGGGGGTGGGGGGGGGGGGGGGGGGGCGGAGCTGGGAGCTAGGGGGGGCGGGGGGGGGGGGGTTTAGCGACTTTTCGTGAAACAAGAAAAAATTGACAAGCAAATCTGCTGCACAGTGTCTTTGCTCTGATCGCACACTTAATGTGTGCAGCTGTGGCAGATGACTTGAGTTAAGCAGCGCAACGCGGCAATAAGCTGTAAACGGCATAACATGTGCTTGCCTATTGAGATCGGCCCTGTCGCTCATTACCAGAACACGACGGGCTCATGTACCATGCTCACAAATAAACCGGAGGGACCGTGCTGTAGCTGAGACAGTGGATTTTATTAGGTTTTTTTTTTTTTTTTAAAGTCATCAATCATCAAACTCAGATTTCGTTAAGGCAGCAGCGGTTTTCCGTTTCACTTCATGAATGAAAACAAAACGGTGTCAGAGGAACGCCTTCACGGTGCACTGCGCTGGGGCATATAGCTCGAGACCGTCTCTTGAACGAGGAAACCTATCTGGCCTGATAAGTGTGGGGTTAAAGGGAAAACAAGGTGTGGGGAATTCCCCGTGAGAAAGCGTGCAGTGGTGTTGTTTTGTCTTTTAGTTTTCTGAGGGAAGGTGGATATTTGTTGATCAAGACACAGTGTGGTGAAAGAAAAAATAACCTCAGAGGCATACTGTCAAAACCCATACATCATCTGGTGTTTTTCCTGTGAAGACGTTGATTTCATTTTTGGCATTGTTCCTTTTCTGATTTTAAACATGCAGCAAGATAACAGGAATGATATCACACAGCCTGGTATCATTTCATAAATGGTACACACAGAAAGAATACTTTTTTTAGGAAAGGTTTTCCTTATTTACCCCGCTTTTGACAGTCATGAAGGAGAAAGACTAGATTGCTAACAGATGAGGGCACTTTTCGCCTGAAGACCTCTTTAAACATGTATCTAGAAGACTCTGTTCCAGTACATAAAAGCTTTGGGAAAACGGGCTGGCAGGAGGCTTTGATTTGGCGTTTTACAGTGCATAGACTCACGTCTCAAGGAAAGACACCAACCATGGCACAGATCAGGGCTATACTACTAAACACTCTAATTCTCTTGTGCTAATTCAGCTCTAATAGCGATTATATGAGTCCAGTTGGCAACAAGTACTCCGATCTCAGTCAAATGCACTCTGTCAGAGTTAAATTAACACTGAACATTTGGCTGTGTATAAAACAGTTTGGCATTTGCAAGTGCATTGCTGGATATCAACCTTGTGTTGAGGAAGGTGAATGTTTTGCAACATTTGTGAACACATTTTGCTGTTAGCCATGAACGTTCGCTAACAGAGTGAAAAGGTAGCTCAGTTTGTAAAAAGGTACCATATGGAAAGATGCCAAGGGAAAAAATGGAGAATCATTTTTGTTTTGATTGTTGATGAAATCATTATTCATCCTTGTGTTGTATAGAGGGTCCAGAAATGTTTCCATGGTGAAAAATTCAGGCATTTTTTTGTTTGTTGTAAAGTGCCTAATTCCACCTCTCCTGTACTCCTCTGTCTCGCAGGTATATGTACTTCACCACCATGCAGGAGCGGTCCGCCAAAATTGAGGGCGCGTCTCTGGACGGGACGGAGCGTGAGTCGCTCTTCACTACTGGCCTCATCCGCCCCGTCGCCCTGGCGCTCGACAACAAGTTGGGAAAGCTCTTCTGGGCAGACGCCGACCTCAAACGCATCGAGAGCAGCGATCTCTCCGGTGAGTGCCAATGCCATCACCTCGGTGCCCACGTTTTTGTGGTACCGTAACTCAACTGTTTCCCTGTTGTGTGACAGTTCCAATCATTTTATATTTAAGCATCAACCATCAACAGACAAGATACCATTAGTGGACCAGTTAGAGTTAGATGTTAATGGACCAGGTACCAGATGCAAACAGACCAGGTACCAACTGTTAATGGACCTGGTAACAGTTGTTAATGGACCAAATACCAACCATCTGTTTATATACAAAACGTAGCTGAAAAAATCCATTCACAGCCTGACTCTCAGGCATTGGTGGAAGTGTGGGTGCTTCACCCGCAGGTGTGACAGTTGCGAAGATGCTGGCACACTTACACGCACGTGCCATTTGGCATTGGTCCCCACCAGCCCGTCTCTGTTTTATCTCCTCCGTCCCTCTGCCCCGCCCACCCGCCCGCTCTCGGATGCTGGCGGTGAAAGTCGTGGTAATTGCAGCGCGGTAATGTGGCACCGCTGGGAGATACCAGGCCTCTCTCCCCATTACAAGCCTTTGATCTCCGTGCTCCGGCCGGGCCTTTTGAAGCCGCCTGAGCCACAGGCTGGGCGTCGCCCCCTAGAGGCCCTTTGGTGTAGTTGACCTGTCATTTATTCATTTCCCAGACGGTTTGTTTGTTTAGATTCTGATTCATCTGTTTGGAGGATTTCTTTTTAACCACCTGCTTATGCTTCCTGAAGTCTGAAGCAGCCCAGAGCCTGCGTTTAAGCGTCTCCCAGGAGGGGCACTGATCTAAGATCAGCTTTGGCCTGTAGCTCACCATGGAAAAGGTTAGGATATGGACAGGGGAAACCTGATCTTTGACCAGCTTTGAGATGCGTTATGAATCTGGGATCAGTGTAGACTTTTAGGTCTCATACAGGATGAAGAAAAACTTGATCCTGGACCAGTGTTTCTAATAAAGAAGCTTTCAGGCTGTAGTTCACAGCCATCCAACGCTGTTCCCTGTTTGTCAGGCCTGTTCTCAACCCTCTGGGTGTTTTTTTGTGCTAACGCTGACTTTGGCTTCACTCTCCACACGAGTTGACAGCTCCTCATCTGCCACGGACATGCTTGTGTTACAACGCACAAAAGCGCGCACCAAAAGCAAAACAAAGAAAAAAACCGTCCTCTGTTTTCAAACTCAGAACGGCCATTTACTCTTCCAAAAGGGTCAGAGCCAATCCAGAACAAACAGTCGGAAGGGGGAGGGGGGGGTTAGGAGAACACAACTGTGACTTTTAACACAAAGAGAGAGAGAAGCTGACAGAGAGTGAGAGAACAGGGTGAGAGGAGTGGAGGATGGAAAATAACGGGTGAGTGAACAGGAGAGGGGAAGGAGATGGGGATGGGGGGAACATGAGAGGGCAGTAAATGAAATGGGGGAGGGAGAAGAGATGAAGGAGATAAGGGAAGGAGGGAAAGGAGAGTGGGATCTAAAAAAAGAGAAACAAAGTGATCACACATCCTCAGCCACCCTGACAAAGGGAAGAGCCCCACCCTTCGTCCTCAGCTCTAGCCGAGGCCGTGACTAATTACAGGGCGCTTCAAAGCGCTCCGTCGTCAGGTCGTCACTGTAATTAGACAGCTGTGAGATGTCTTTATCCTCCCCAGATGCGGGGCTGGGGTTTGATGTGGAGTGACGGGCTCTGCACTTTGCGCCAGAGCTCCCGAATGTCACGTAGGAGCCGGCGGAACACTGGACACTTCCTCCCTCACGTGCACACCAGCCCCAGCCCCGCCCCCTGCCAGCAACTTCAGGACAGGGCTCCACCCCCTACTCTCTGACAAAGCTTCATTTCATTTCTGGGAGTGAGTCACTTCCAGAAATGACCACGCCCCCTGTCTGCCACTCCATTGTGAGACTCCGCCCCCTGCTTATAACATTGACAAATCTCCTGCTCCTGTCTGTCGCTCCAGGGCCAGGCTCCACCCCCTGGCCCCGTTTTTATGAATTACCTTGGATGAATCGGATCATTTTCCACCACTGTAAAACATTTCACATGCACAAGCTTATCAAGAGATGTAAGTGGTCATGTTAATGATTTAAGTCACATACATCATGACTACAGCCTCACACCGCTTCCAGAATGAACCAAAAAGGCACAGGAAACGATGTGATCAAAAGCAGATGTCTGGACAAGCCCAAACCCAATATCATGTAAATCAGTTATAACTGGATGATTTGTAATGGCCATTACAGTCAACATGAGCTGATTTGTGGTTGTGAGTCTGAGTCCTGGGCAAACATGAAAGATGCAAAAATGACATCACAGACCCCTCCCCTTCTCTCAGGAGCCAGTAATGTCACACCTCTGGAGACCCTCCCCCCTACTTCCTTGAGCCAATCAGATCACTCTGTAGGACTCTCACATTAAGCAGTAGTCCCTCCAAGCTCTGTCAGCAGCCAATCGTTTCATTCTGGAGGACTCCTGTATTAACCAGCCCCTCCCCCCTCTCTCTCAGGAGCCAATTGGATCACGTCGCAGGATTCCTGTATTAACCAGCCCCTCCCCCCTCTCTCTCAGGAGCCAATCGGATCACGCTGCAGGACTCGAACATCCTGCAGCCCATGGGCCTGACCGTGCTGGGGGATCACCTATACTGGATCGACCGGCAGCAGCAGATGATCGAGCGTGTGGACAAGATCACTGGCGAGAAGAGAACGCGGATCCAGGGCCGCATCGTCCACCTGACCAGCATCCACGCCGTGGAGGAGCTGGACCCCGAGGAGTTCGGTAAGGACCCACCCCCGCACTCCACACACAGCCAGGGTGAAGGGGGAGCACTGTAGTATCATGGTTAGGAAGCTGGTCTTGTAAGTCAGAGGGTTGTAGGTTCAAATCCCACCAAGGGTGCTATAACCCTTGAGGGAGGTACGTCTTGTAAATTGTAAAGCTGGAAAATGTAAGCTTTGTTAGTCAGCTAAATGCCTAAAATGGAAATATAAACGTAGAGCTTGGGTTGCTGGCTTTATTCCCATGTGGGGCACAGCTGGTGTATGTGTGAGCACTGAATTGCATCAGTACATTTAGCTGAATGCATTGATTATATCCAGCAAAAAAGGAAAACTAAACTGCGTAAGAGCATCTGCTAAATATAAATGTCAATGTATTGCTCTATGCCTGGTTATTATCTGGATAATCACGTAAGTAATTGTGCTGGAAGTATGTGGTATGTGAAGAGCGTGGAAGTAACGTTGCTTTATTTTCATTTTGAAAAAAGAAATCTATAAATGGGCTTTTATGTACATTTGGCAGCAAGAGCTAACTTGTGTACAACTACCACCACAACCCCCCCCCCCCCCCACTTTTAGCATCACATCCCTGTTCCCGTGACAACGGAGGCTGCTCTCACATCTGCATCGCCAAGGGAGATGGGACGCCCCGCTGCTCGTGCCCCATGCACCTGGTCCTGCTGCAGAATCTGCTCACCTGTGGAGGTAGCCAGTCGCATACATTCCTATCTTTACAATGTGAAGATGTCATAATGCCCTTACGTAATGTTCAGATGTTGTGGCCGCCAGTCACACGCAATCCTCCTTTCATGACCGTGTGGTGATGTCATAGTACTCCCTTGTAATGTGCACCTGTAGGTAGCCAATCACATGCAATCCTCCCCTTGGTGACAGCAGGGTGATGTCATAATGACCTCCTGTAATGTTTACCTGTGGACGTAGCCAATCACCCGCATTCCTCCCTTTGTGACAGTGGGGTGATGTCATAATGCCGTCTTTTAATGTCCGATGATGTACTTGTATTGTGAGAAGGAAAGGAGTACAGTGAGTCATGCTGGCCTGGGCTCTTTGGTCTGATCTGTTCTGTTCAACGATTTCCAGACCTTCAGTCACCCTCCATCCTATCACACCCACGTGTGATTCAAGCCCATGTACAGGGTTTTTTACACAGGGTCTTCTACAGTGTTATATGGAACATCCTGTCTATATCCACAGCGCCATGACAAGCACACATTGATTATTAACACAAGACATACTAAAGAAATTGATTTAAAAAAATTATATGGCATAAGCAAATAAAAATACAAGTATACACATTATTGTTTTATGTTCCAGCTGCATATGTCTTAAGTTCTATATGTTGAAGTCCTATGATTCAAATTTTTGTATTTGTGAAGTTAACCATGGCCGTGCTGTTCGAGTGATGTACTGAGTGTTTGTCTTATATTAAAAGACCTTAAAATAAATGTTTTGTTTTTTAAATACATTTATCATAATACACATACACCCACGGTCTCTTGAGGTTGTCTGGCAGAGAAAAGGCCTCAGCCAACCAAATTTACTGTCAGAAATTGTCTGGCACCAATCACATTATAGGAAGCCTAGACCAGCACCACTCTCCACAACACTTGATCAGAGACTGGGTTTTGATAGTCACCCCTGCCTCCTCCGCTTAAACATCTGAATTTTCATTCCCCCCCCCCGCAGAGCCCCCCACCTGCTCCACGGAGCAGTTCACCTGTGCCACCGGAGACATCGACTGCATCCCCATGGCCTGGCGATGCGACGGCTTCGCAGAGTGCGACGACAACAGCGATGAGGAGAGCTGCCCCGTTTGCTCCGCCTTCCAGTTCCAGTGTGACAAGGGCCAGTGCATCGACGCCCAGCTGCGCTGCAACGGCGAACTCGACTGCGCAGACAGCTCCGACGAGCAGGACTGCGACAGTACGCATCCTTCCGATGCACATATGCACTGCACCTGTACACACCTACACGCCTGAACTGACCTGTGCACACCTATACACCTGAACTCACCTGTGCACCTGTACACACCCACTCACCAGCTGTACATATCTACACACCTGAATACCTTCTGCAGCTGTACAAACCTACGCACTCTTCAGAACAAAATTCTAAGTCAAAATCCTGAGGTCTTCCCTTGGGAAAAATAAAAGTTTCCTATTCTATAGAACTCTGTTGTCCTCGGGGTTGTAGTTTAAGGTCAGCAATTGGGTTTTATCAGAGGTTGTCAGGGATGCTGAGTGTTTTCACACTCTAAAGAGCGTTTAAAAAGTGAGTCTAGAGAGTGTCAGGTGCAGCTGAGATCCCTTTTTACGGTCGTCGCTGTAACGTGCGTGCTGTCCTGTTGGCTCACACAGCGTTTACCCCGCCACTTCCACAGCGGTGCGCGCATTCTGGCACTCGAGCAGCGCACACACGCTGTTCTGTGGGGGACCGTGCATTCCTTTGTCTTGTGCAGGGTGTATCTGGCACTGGAAGCTTATTTATTCCAATTGGCAGCAGCCGCTTCCATCAGCGCACCAACCAGCCTTAATATGGTGCACATTTTGTTAACTGGGGCAGCGTTTGAGCGCTGGACTGCAGGGCAGCTGTGCTGGTGCCAAGCTCTGACACTGCCAAAGGGGCGTCATGGCGGTGAGGGCTGAGAGCGCGAGCGGTGTGGAGGAGCAGGATTTCTGTCTGAAACAGTGTGGAGGAGCAGGCATTCTGTCTGACACAGTGTGGAGGAGCAGGCATTCTGTCTGACACAGTGTGGAGGAGCAGGATTTCTGTCTGAAACAGTGTGGAGGAGCAGGATTTCTGTCTGAAACAGTGTTATGGCTGTGCTGTAGAGAGAAATCCTGCTCCTCCACAGAGTGTGTAAAACAGCACATGGTCCTCACACAGTGTGTACAAACAGCACATGGTCCTCACACAGTGCGTAAAAACATCACACGCTCCTCACACAGTGTGTAATCTTGGGCTTGTCTCTCTGCAGCGATCTGCCTTCCTAACCAGTTCCGCTGTGGGAACAGCCAGTGCATCCTGAAGAAACAGCAGTGCGACTCCTATTCCGACTGTGCAGACAACTCTGATGAGGTTTTCTGCGGTGAGATTTTCCTCTTTCCCTCCCAAGTTTAACTTTGCTGTCAGCCACACCCACATTCGTGACTCCACGAATTCGTGAATGGTTTCATGTGGCAGGTAGCCTCCGCTATTTTTCACACTGCAGATACAGCACCAGTTACACATTGCACTATGCCATCACAGGAACATTCGGTCAGCATTTGTTCAGTTCATAAACTTGTAATCTCCCAGCTGGCCATAAGAGGTCACTAGAGAGCAACAATGATTTTTCATCAGCGAGTCTGGGCCAGCTGTAGTATTGCCAGTGTGAAGCCATTGTCATGGCCTGCATTTGATAGCACAGTTGGGACTCGAACTCCCAAACTGCCGTGGGGCACACAGCTGCTAAGTGAACTCATGCCTTTTCTCTGGGTGAGACCTGAAGGCCCTCTGAAGTCAGCTTTAATCACTGTAGAGTTCTTTTCCATAAGAGATTAGATTTATAAACGGAAATTCATGGGCATCATAATTTTAGCTCTTAAAACAAAGAGCATAAAGAACATGAGGTGTACCGGTCTTGGAAAGGAACATTGTGGGTTCCTTAGCCAGTTGGTGACTTAAGTGAAGTACCTAAGTCTTGAATCACAGAAGAAACCCACAGACACTGTAGCCTTTACCAGACCTTAAGTTAAACCTGTAGACACTGCCCCCTCCAGGACCGGAGTTAAACCTGCAGACACTGCAGCCCTCCAGGACTGGAGTTAAACCTGCAGACACTGCAGCCCTCCAGGACTGGAGTTAAACCTGCAGATACTGCATATGTTGTCTCTCAGATCGGCTAGTAAATCTTCTACTCATGCTGTTTTGATTTTAAAAAATGTATTTATTATATTTGTAAATATATGTAGCTTATCATTTAACACACCTAAGTGGTCGGTGTTTAGAGGGCTCCATGGCTCACCTGTGTCCATATGTCTGTCCGTGTTCCAGAGTTCCTGAGCCCGTCCTCCAGTGACCCCAGCCACACCAGCACAATCGGCCCAGTGATCGGGATCATCCTGTCGGTGTTCGTGATGGGCGGGATGTACTTCGTGTGCCAGCGGGTCGTGTGCCGCCGCTACAAGGGTCCGAACGGCGCCTTCCCCCATGAGTACATCAGTGGGACCCCCCATGTTCCCCTTAACTTCATCGCCCCGGGAAGCTCCCAGCACGGCACCTTCACAGGTGAGGGGACATGAGATGCCCTTCCTTTCACCCTCCTCCCTCCCTCCCTCTGCCTCCAGCCCCAACCTAAAGCTCCACCCACATACCCAGCCCCAGCCCACACCTCCAGCCCCCAACCTAAAGCTCCAGCCACATACCCAGCCCCAGCCCACACCTCCAGCCCCCAACCTAAAGCTCCAGCCACATACCCAGCCCCAGCCCACACCTCCAGCCCCATCCTAAAGCTCCAGCCACCTACCCAGCCCCAACCAGGGCAACTGGTCACCCCACAGCTGGCCCCAGCCCACACCTTCAGCCCCAGCCAGGGCAGACTGGGCAGCAGGAGTGGCTCAGCGCCCTGGCCCGTCTCATCGGGGGCTGTAAAACACATTTTTATTTTTTTAATGTGTTATGACTCTCAGCGCTTGGGCAATAAGGAATAACGAAGGAGGTGAATTTGGAAACATCTGCAGCGGAGCGTGTTTGTGCCAAGTCAGAATGAGCTCCATGTGTCCAGGGCTGGAGTGCACATCAAAGAAAACAGTGTGGGGGGGGGCAGGGGGGTACTGCAGTTCAGGTCACTTATTTTGTTGTAGGTGTGGTTATCTGCCAGGTATGTGCTAGTCCATGTGTCTGTGCTGTGTGAGTGGGGCTCATTTTTAGGTCTGTGCTAGCTGCTTGTACCTCGTGTCTTTGTGTCTGTGCTGTACCTGTAGGTATGTCCTGTATGACTGTATTGTGTCTGTGCTGTACCTGTAGGTATGTCCTGTATGACTGTATTGTGTCTGTGCTGTACCTGTAGGTATGTCCTGTATGACTGTATTGTGTCTGTGCTGTACCTGTAGGTATGTCCTG